TTTTGAGTCCTAGGTATGCCAAAATGTTCAAAAGGCTTTGAAATGTAAAGATAAATAAAAAAATATTAATGAAAGTTGATTAAAATTTAACTAATTATAAATTCTAAAGAAGAAAATGACAAATTTTACAAATATGTTCTTCACCGTCCATTTACGAAAATACGTCAAATATTGGACCAGGTCGAAACGAAAAGAGTTCGATGAAACAATTATACTTACATATTAATTTAGTTGCTTCTTTGTAAAGCAGATTAAATTTTCTCAAACAATATATCATAAAACTTCATAATTCTAATATTTATTATTTATTACATCGACTTCAGAATCAGTAAAAAAACAGCAGTACAATTTGCTGCTCGCACAACATGTATAAGATTTTTACAAGAAAAGCCGAGAATTTATAGCACACAAGATTTTAATTTATAATACCTATTTTTCTCTAACTATATTCTATGTAATTTTTTTATTATTTTTTGCCATCTAAAGTAAAATTACCTCTGCATGCATATTCGAATAAAATCTCGACATATGCGCTTTCCTCGAGCATAAATTAAAAATAATGAAAATAATATTTTCAACTACAAAGTCATTTTGTAAATTGATATAAGCATAACAAAGGTTGTATAATTTAAAAGTAATTTGTAGAAAATAGTTGTATAAATTATGACAATCGATGTAATAGTAATTTTAGTAAATTCCATTAAAATATAATATATAAAAGGCAAATTTTGTATGTGGTGTTTTATCATTACAGTCATTTTTAATAGTGCTTTTATATAGAAAAAAATCTACCGAGAGCATATTTCTTTATTTCATTTAAATTTAAGTACTTATATTATTATTTACTGAATTTTGTAATTATTTACATTTTTATTTTTAATTTATTTAAGAAAGTATTTATATTTAGAATCTACTATTTCTTCTTTCATCTACCAGTTAGTTCTTGCCATTCATTTGCTTATTTATACATTTTAATTATTTATTATTGTTTTAATTTATCTATTACTCGATCTATTTGCATAATCAATTTGTTTGTATAATCATTAATGTAATTATCTGCATATTAATTTATTTGTTTATTTATTTATCTATTTATTTGCTATTCAATTTATTTAATCACTACGTTCAATTATTCATACATCCAATTATTTGTTTATTAATCAATAAACAATTTACACTGATATTTTTGTTGATGATCTACTTTGAATTTTATCAATGTACTAATTTATATGAAAAATAAATTAAGTTTCAAGTATAGTAGTAAAACTTACTAACAAACCGAATCTGCTATTATAAATTTTGTTACATAACCAACAACAATCAAAACTTGTTTATTTTTTAATTGAAGAAGATAACATATTATTAATATATTTTATAAAATATGTTACTAACTTGTATTCATTTAGGTGTACTGGGTGTTGAGAATAGCAATTAAAGCTTTAACTATCTTAAATTATGACAGGTGGTTTTTGGTAGGTGATTTCAATTCAACTCAGGTATATAGATTTTATATAATTTTTTTTTTACATTTACATATAGATTTAGAATAACTCTCTCAAGAATGAAATTTTATATTTTACCTTAAGAGAACGATTCTGCCACATAATACAAAAATGTTATGGCAAGGCCATGTTATGAAAAACTTTCCAAACTAAGGCAAAAGCCACGTGGTCGGTGTATAGTCTGACGTATTTCTCAGGTTATCAGATAGAAAACCTAACCTAAAAACCGTACATATGTCAAAAAGACGATCTTAGATAACAGGGTATTTCTGACCCAGTTTCATAACATACGAGTTTATGTGTAAAACGCCTGAATGCACAGCAAATACATGACATTTTGACAGTATTTAGTATAATTCAGTAGCATAATGTATAAAAGTTGGAGCGTAATATGGCCTTGCAATAACATTTTTCTGTTGTGCGACAGAATCTGTCCCTAAACTTAGCAGCAAAAATTTTGTAATTCAATTTATGTCAATTTTCTTACTTTTTATATTCTTAATCTTGATTAATATTAAATATGTGGGAATTAAGGAACCTTGGAATTGGATAGAAACAAATATTCATGTCATGACATTTTGTATTTGTTTTGATAATGATATATTTTTAATACATTTTTATAAAACATAGAAATATATTTCTACTTATTTATATATTTCCATAAATATATTATTAATTAAAGAGTGCAATGTCTGAGAAATAACTCTTTACGGATCAGAGACATGGACTCTAAGAAACTACCAGGAGAGTTTTAAAAGAAGACAAAGAAAGGAGTCTACTGAGCATGATCCCGAAAAGGAAAGGAAACTAGATCGGACCCATTCTGCAAAAATGTAGTTTTATATGACGTTGTCGATGGTAAAATACAGGGAACTGATAGTCCTCAGGATCAGAAAGTATGGAAGCAGAAGTACGGAAAGAGAAATGCATAGAAGGATATAAAAATGGTGAATATTAGTAATAAAATTGTACTAGAAAATAAACATGAGAAAAAAAGTGAATTATTGATCTGTGCTCTCACATCAAAGACCTGCCTTCGGTCAGACTACTATTTATTATTATTATTGATGTTAAACCTAAACAGTTTTGTCATTATTTGATTAATAATAATTGATCTGCTATTTTATTGACTTTCTTATACAAAGTAGAATTTATCTTGAAGGTTTTGGAATTTTAGTGTCGTGTATAAGTAGCTTGTTGAATGTTTTACAATTCCACAAGTGGTCGTACCACAAGTGTTTCCGGAAAGCTGAAAATGACCACGCGACCAATATGTAAATTGGTGAAGATAAACTTGCTGAAAACACAATATATATATATATATATATATATGTGTGTGTGTGTGTGTTTGTGTGTGTGTGTGTGCGCGCGCGCGTGTGTTTAGTCAACTATGCCAACGATATTCAAAATAATACGCAAAAATCGCTACATCATCGCTAAAAAGTTGGAACTCATTTGTTTTCACAATTATGCTTTCTAGCGCACGCCGCATAGTACTGCCACAATTTTGTTACACGCGATTTTTTCAAGGGTCCTTATTAAAAAAAAAAGAATTAAACTAATTCTTCGCTCTTTAAGCTGGGAGTCGAACCGGCAGTAGCGTAGTGGTTTAAAACACCACTCCGCTCCTGTCTGTTTTGCTCCGGCATAAAAATAAACAAAAAGAGCAAATTTTTGGACAGGCCTCGTCTAGAAAAAAGCGAGGCCGAAAAGATTTCTATCATACACAAATACGCAGATACACACACATACATACATATAATATATATATATATATATATATATATATATACTTATATTGATTGTTTCTTTTCCGAACAGTAAATCCAATAATAAAAAACAATTTGTTTTTTGAAGATGTTTAATACGACGTTTCGGAACTAGGTACGTTCCATCATCAGGTTTATTCTGTAATAATTTATATATCCATATCACTAATATTTTTTTGTTAAAAACACTCGATTTTTTTGGAAGATATTTGTAGATGTTACGACTACACAAGACTTAAACACACTGATAATGTGTGTTTAAGTCTTGTGTAGTCGTAACATCTACAAATATCTTCCAAAAAAATCGAGTGTTTTTAACAAAAAAATATTAGTGATATGGATATATAAATTATTACAGAATAAACCTGATGATGGAACGTACCTAGTTCCGAAACGTCGTATTAAACATCTTCAAAAAACAAATTGTTTTTTATTATTGGATTTACTGTTCGGAAAAGAAACAATCAATATATTGAAAAAATCCAGGACTTATCTATTGAATATATACTTATGTGTGTGTGCGTTAAAATCTGAACAAGAAACTAATATATCTCATTTATTTTACGATTTCGTTATATCGGATCAACCGATTTGAATGATTTAAACCACTTTCGATTCGTATTGACAGGGGGGACATGCTGATGAGTTTTTGGCAAGGGCAGGTTTTTGAGATAACGGAGCGTCCGATTTAAATGATTCAAAAAACATTCTATTTGTATTGGTTTCGAAAAGCCAATAAATTTGTTTTTTAAAAAATGCCAGTTGATGATCAAAAATTAACCTTAGACATATGCACATTACAGATATTTAATAGAGTTTTTAATAATAAGATTGAGACGCAGCGCTTACGCGCTACGCTATTTTGTTTCCACCCAGCTAACGCAACGCAAAATTTCTGAAATATTTCATAATATATTAGGTTATTTTTTTTAATTTTAAAATTCTCAAAAATCTATTGTTTTCAAAGTTTTTTTTTATAAAAGAGGATTTTTTTTTTAAATTTAATTTTTAGCACGAGAAGTTTCAGCAATTTGCCTTAAGGCACAATGCGATGGCACCACTAGTTAATGTCTTTTTTTCTACAGTTTTTCTTGTCCATTTCAAAACAGGAGTAATTTTCACTATATAACAAAAACTTAAAACTAATTATTAAAATTGAAATATCACCAGAAAGAAAAATTGAAGAGGCATTCTAGTAGGAAGTTGATATCAAAAATAAATCATTGACTCTATAAAAATGTGGTAATAGTATAATGTTGAAGTAGTACAATTTATCAAGACGTTTGAAAAATTACATTCTGGTACGAAGTTTTTTCTAATAAAACTTATTATATGTTTATTTGTGTTCACAAGCAGAAATAGTGAGTAAATCTAAATTATTTAAACACGTTGATAAAACATTAATGTAATTTTAGTAGTATAAGTCATCTTTGAAAGCACTCCGCAGAGATATGTACAAACTTTGAAGTTTATCCGTTCATCAAGTATTTAATGCCAAATTATTAAAGTTTCGTCATTTCCCCGGGAAACCAACACGTATATCTGAGATAAGAGGTTCGAGCTAAATTATAACTAGAAGATTCATATATTCTATGACATAGAATCTATGTATTAAATAAATTTCATAGAATATATTTCAATACATAGAATATATATATTATTAACTTCGCGTAGGGTAAGTTAATAATATATATTCTATGTAAATTTCATATTAATTTTATAATTTTACCTGTAGATACTGTATTTGTCCCTGTAAAGCTGTAGCTTCCTTCCTTAATGATTGTAGCATTTCTTTAGCATCCATTGATGTATTATCAAGGACTACTTCATTTTTGAATGTTGGTGGATTATTATCCTGAAAAAAAAAACAAAATTAGGTTAATTACATGTTTGAACCAAATAATTAAACCAATAAATGGTTTATGTAGTATTTACAATTTAGAGTAAACAAATAAAAATCATTTGATATATCGTCAAAAGCAAAATGTTTTTGGTAAAAGTTAACCAATGTTGAGCCAAATATTCAAGATTAATTTCACAACTACTATCCCAATATTGGTTAAAAAAACATGTAAAAATATTACGCCAATTACAAACAATATTGAAGCTGTGTTTTTTTCTTTCATTTTCACTCAATATAGTTAATTATTGATAATACGGATACAATTTTTACAGCATTTATTTCCATTTGTGCATTTTTGTCGAGAAAACAAAATTAGAAAATCGGATTTTCTGGCCACAACAAACTTTTCTTACGGGAAGTAATTAAGTATAAATTGTTTCACATATTTTAAGTTAAGTTATAAGGCATTCTACGTCAATTTTGAGTTCTATTTTAAAACAAATACAAAATTAAAAAATGGTTAAAATAATAAAAATGGTTTTACAAGAACAAAATCATTTGCTCGTAACATTTGATATAAAAATTTTCTTGTGTACATAAAAAATTTAACAGCTTTACGAATATAAAAGTTGTACAAAATTTCCAATATTAAATATTATGCATAGAAAAGTTATTGTAATAAAAAGCATTTGCTTCGACGAACTGTTAGCGTATTATATTCTGAAAACGTGAGCAAAATAATTTAGTTCGTTTCTGAATACAATGTTACAATTTATAAAATACTCTTATGCGAATGCAATATTTAATTTAACAAATACTTTATCAATTATTTTGAAGCGGTTTAAAGTTTATATTTTCTGTAAATAGGTATGCGCATACAAATATTCTTGTATGATATAATAATTTTGACTAATTATTTAAATGAACAAATAATATCAATTTAATTTCATGAAACAAAATTTTTGCTACGCTGGTATTAAAATAGTATTCGATTGTAATGAATATTTTATTACTGCAATAAAATTAATTACCCTGAAATCAATAAATTGAAGTATTAAACTTGATTAATTTGTTTTAATAATTTTATGTGTATTGTAATCTAAATATGAGAAACGATATCGAATAGAGGATAAATTAAAAATAAATTAATTGTGATGGTTTAATTAAGCTCTAGTTGAAATGTTATGCTTAATTAAGTACAACATACATACCTACATACCTACATATACCTACATATTTATTTATTTATAATACGCCAATCGGCTATATACAGTTAATTATATAGTAATGTAACATAATAATGTTAAACTATGTTATTTATATATATATATATATACATATATATATATGTGTGTATATATATATATATATATATATATATATATATGTATATATATTTTACAAGTATTTTTATTTTTCATTTAAAAAAACTTTTTGACCGATTGATAGTCGACTATCCAGTAACATAATCTTTTGTCGTTTTTAGATTTTTATTTTTTTACTCGAAATTTTTCAATAATAAAGTAATATCAAGGATTTTACTATTTTAGAATCCTGATTAAATGCTCTAAATTTTGATATAACTTGCCAACACCCTTTAATAAATTTTTTTAATGAGGTCTTCTCAAAGTCGACCAATTTTAAAAATTTTGAATTCCTAAATAAAATGTCTTAATTCTGAAAAACTTAGAACAATTGTGTTATTATTTTTCACTGTGGTCCTAGAAATGTTATTCACAGTTACGGTTCCAAAATTTAAATGAACAAAATTAATTAAACATTAACCGCAATAACTGAAAAAAGGTCATCTATTCACCAAAGCTCTAGGTTGCACTTAAAATCTCTTAATTTGTAAATAGAGATGATTTTTTCTTCTAATTTTTTTCAGTACCGGCGAGGTCAATACTATCACCTCGTTTTTGCTTGACGTTAAATTCTGGGACACCCTGTCATCTTTCGGACAATCCGATCAAATTGAAAAAGTAGACAGGTATATACGTAGACACTTAGATAGGTAAACAAGTAGGCAGGTAGACAGGTAAATGGTATACGAATCAAATTTTTATTAATTAAACCGTTTTTTTTACATGTCGGGAATTTCATGTAAATTGTCTTAAGGTATAATGCCACTTACACCTAGTTTAGTAATATGTTTCGACAGTTTATATATGTCATCATACATCAAAAGAAAAACTCCAAAATACAAAAATGGAGACAGCACACAATCATTGTCACAAAACTGTAATATAATCTTTGTTTTTGAATAATTATTTGTAATACTAGTTAGTTATATTTAGATCTTTCATATGTCCTGAAAGCTTAGAATTCATTCTAAATGTATTATGATTTTTTCATATAAAAGTATTTAAGTATTCTGTAGGTAACACATAATCATTAAAACACCTTTCAAACATACAAACCTATATTGAAAAATATTTTTATCGATTTTTATTTTCGTTGAAGTCTAAAAAAGTCAGTAAAAAATACAACGATTGTATTAACATTTATTAAACTATATTTTTATTATACAATATAAAGTGAATTTATATAATAAAATTATCTTCACTATATAATTATTTATTTTGATTCTTGTGCTCCTTTACCTATACAGCACCCTATAAATCTCAAGTAAAAGTTCGACAAGTTTGACTACATTTTTATTCACAATACAACTTTTTTGAAAGATAAATCAAGCACATAAATTTCTTTGAAGTTCCAGAACTCATATTGAATAGAAAACCCTCCACCGTATCTTTGGAGACAAAATCTGAACTAACGCGAGTTATTTTAAATAATGTAACACGAAAGTGGACTTTCGACTTACCGGTGAAATGCGAGTTCAAATATCACAAGCAGTCATTTTATGCTTCGTAGAACTTTAGTAATACATTTAAAATACAATTTCTAAAGAAATAATATCAAACTTAGGCAATTACGCGAAATACCTTGAAAGTTCTCAACTGCTATCAAAAGCTCAGAGTACTAATATCCTGTTATAGTGTATTCATATAGGAAAGCCAAATCTCTTTTCATACGAAATGCCAAAAGGAAAACATATTTACGTCTTCCTGGTTCCTTGAAAACCTACCCTGATGAATGAATGAATCAATGAATGAAGAACTGCATTGACGGTTCATTTCAGAAGATATCTAATTACGACAACTAGTTTTCGCAATATGAAGTTGGATGTCAATGGGTACATAATTTAATTATAATTAGACACGTAATGAGGATTATTATGTTCTGAAATTATTATTTGATTATTAACAGATAATTATAACTCATCATTAGCAGAAAATTATAACTATGTTATAACAAGTAGTTATTAACTTCCTGAAGAAGAAGTTTATGGTTTTGTAAAAAATTCTGATTTGATAGTAACTTCTCATGGGGTAAGTCCAAAAATCGATTTTGTAAATTTTTGCATTTCTTCAAGTTTTAAAGGTTTCTGAACATTTTGGCATTCCTTAGAAAAAATTGATGTGTATGTGTGTTTGTGTGTCCGCAAATTTTGTCCACGTTTTCGGACGCACAGATCAACCGATTCGTATGGTTCAAAAAACATTCGATTTATATTGATAGGGAGATGTGCTGATTCGTTTTTGACAAAGGCAGGTTCAGCCGTTTCGAAGATATGGAGCAAAGAGTGCAGCTGGTTTGAAAGATCGACTACCTTAGAAATTCGTAATGATGGGGAGAATTGGTGACTAGTTTTTGGCAAAGGTAGGTCCAAATGTTTCGGAGATAGGAAGCTAAATGTGCAAAATATGACAGTTTTTGAGAGAACAAACATCCGATTTGAATGATTGAAAAAACTTTTTACTACGAAACAATTGCTTTTGTGAATTAATTTTTTTCATTTGAATTTTTTTTCGAAATAATTTCTTTTGTATATCGAAAATAATTCAAATTTTAGTATTAATTTTGATAGATCTAAAGCTCGCTTATATACTTCAAATAAATAATTTTAACTTTGCAATTCAGTTCATATAATTCTTATAAATATTAAACTTTTAAAATCCGATTGATCAAATTTTTGTTTATTAACTTTTCTGTAAACGTCGTCTTCCAATTCATAAACTTTTATATTTTGTCTATAATATAAGAATATTAAAAGTTACAGTATTTATAAAAATCTATCATCTAATTTTCCTTTAATATTTTGTTACAGTGCGGGAAGTTCCAGCAATTTGCCTTAAGGCACCAATAAGAACCATAAACCACTTGGTTTTATGTTTTCTTGACGTTTCAATTCATTCTGAATCGAATGAGAGTAAAGTCTAAAAAAGTGTGTGTGTGTGTATGAGACCTATTTTTGCCGTTTGTCGACGTTTCTTAAAAAACGGCTGGAATTAGCATTTGTCAATTTTGCGACGATCAGCCAAGCCGTTTCATTGTAATTAGAAGAAAAATGTAAAAATTTTCTTCCACCTTCTAGCCAACAATCTTAAGCCGATTTTAAAACTTCAAAAACTGATCGAAAGATATTGGTTCGGAATGGCGCTAATCAGTTTTTGGTAAAGATCGGACGGACCGTTTCTTCGTAATTAATTAACTGATTCTGCCGCACAACAGACCAATGTTATGAAAAACCTTCCATACTAAATATTGACAAAAGCCATGTGATTGATAGAAATCTTAATCTAGAAATTACACAAATGTCAAAAAAAAACGATCTTATTAAACAGGGTCTTTCTGACCGAGCATCATAACATACAAGTGACGTTGCAGTTTATGTGTAAAACGCCTGAATGCACAGTAAATACATGTCATTTCGACAGTATTCATTATGAATCAGTAGCATAATGTATGGAAGTTGAAGCGTAACTTGGCCTTGCCACAACATTGGTCTGTTGTGCGGCAGGATTGACCCATAAATTTCTAAAAAAATTTGTTCGACGATTTTGATGAAATTTTGTATGGCGATAGATGTTATAGTCTGAAATAACATACTAAAATATTATAGGTCTACGATAAGCGAATAAATTGCTATTTATTCGAAATTGCATTTC